AAAAAACTTATATATCTTTGAGTTCATTATATACTCACATTATATATAAATATATATATTTAAATGGTAAACAGCCGTCTCTATCAATATAAGGTGCTTCTTTAATATCATACTTTTTTAAAGCAGTATATTTATTTCTATATCCTCTTTGCCCCTTTTCGTACAATTTTCAATTTGAAATAAGAAATGATGTCTTTTCCATTGTTTTCGTATATTTCTTATATATTAAATGTTATTTAGATGCATTTACGCATGCACATATATCGGTATTTATATAAGTATATAATTCAGATGGAGGATACCTTAAGGAATTTGTTTAGGGATGATTGTGCTTTACCATGACGCATGTGGTGTATATATAGAGTATGTATTACGTTGCATTAATGAGATTTTGACCAGAGTGAAAGAGTATTGAAATTGCATTTTCTTAAGGTTTAAAATATTATTTAAACGTTAAATGCATAGCAAATTGTTGTCTACAACCAAAATATACTTTACCCCGTCTTTCTGTAGATAATGTTTTAAATGTCAAACATTATCAAAAAAAAAAAATATATATAGAAAATTTATTTAAAGCAATGAGAAAGATTCATTTTATACGTGCGAGTACTTACCATTAAATTCATTCATTCAGTCTTTCATATATTCGCCCTTGGTATTGCCGTTTGCTTAAGTGATATTTCATGTCACCTGAAAGAGCAGAAGAATTTTCGTTATACATACGCATATATATTGACATAAAGGAGCGTGTAACGTACTTTCTTATTGGAATTATTAGTCATTCATAGACACCCCGTATTTAAAAATACGTCCTTTCTATTAAAGAGCAGTAAGTAATAACCAAACATTGAAATCCAAATTATATGTTATATTCAAAGTCGTCAAAGATTCATAATTTCATTGTTTTCCTCTTTCCGATTTCACGGCGGTTTCATTAATTTAGAGAAAGTAACTAAAATCGGTCTTTTCGTTTATTTACAGAAATTAAACATGCGCCGTAGTTCGTAAAGTTAGAACAATTACTAATCGGATCGAAACGAAAACATAGCACTGGAAATTGATATATTTCCGATGGGGTCACTGGTAAAGGTTATAAATTTACTGAAAAACTGAACAATATTGTTATCTCCATACAAATAATATATGTTGTCATTAGTTATATTGCTACATTGGGTCTGAATTGTGTGATAAAACAAGATGTTATTTTCGTACGGAAATTTTCTTAACTTATACAAATAAGACGCCACAACTTTAAGCATTTTTTTTGCTTTCTAGTCGCTATTTACTAACTAAACTTAAAACTTGGAGAACTAAAAAATTTTTCGTTTACGTGTGGGTGAATGAAATCATAGCCCACAGAATTTTATAGAATCTGTGGACAATTTCGTATAATATTTACGAATTCACAAGCAGTGTTCCAATTACGCGATGACGCTGATACGATATGAAGGAAAGATGTGCGTCTTGTAGCTCAATATTTGAAGTATTATTATAAAGTGAAAGCAATTATTGCCATTAGGAAAAATCAATAATAAGTTCAGTTTAACACAAAATTGTTAAGGGGAATATTCTCCAAGTTAATTAGAAAATAGAACAGTGGGACAAACCGCTTCATTGCCTTTGATATATTAGGTAACCTAAAGCACTTGTCGGTACAGTAGTATCGATTCTAATGTGTATAACAAGTTTTGATTTAATTTAGTGTGATGAGCTGTCGTTTTTACTTTTTCTCTTTGATTGGTTTCCTCGATTCTCTCCACTTGTATAATTAACAGAAAGGAAACAAAAAAGTTTTTAAGGCACACTTAACTGATTTTTGAGATGCATTTTAAAACATTTTTCTTCTCAATAATCAAAATCGATGAACTCGGAAAATTATTTCTCACAGCTAAAGTAAGTTAGAAAACCATTCTGGTATTTTTCCAGGTCGTAGAAATTAACCCAATTATTTGTTGGTGTTGGTTAATTAAGGAAAATTATTAATTATGGTGGCATTTGGTATCCAAAACATGTGTAAAATCTTGCTTAAAAAGTTTTTAGATTAATTTAATATATGTAAATTGGTTGCTACTTGTGCAACAGCTGCCTTTTGTATGCTTGGTTTCTCTTGCTCTTGTTATTTTTAGAGCTATTTAAGACATCAAAATATTGCATAGAATAACAAAACCGTAATTTTTTCGATTTTCGTTTTGTTTCATCGTTTATAGACGGAGTCGAAATTTTCACAAATATTTCGTTTTATAAATGATTGCAAACCAGTCTTAACTTAAAGAAAGACTACGATGGCCCACCGCCTGTCTGCTTAAACCGTATTACAGAAAATATGGAAAAATTATTCTGAACGATCGATCGTTGCCTTTGCCAAGAGATAAATAAATACAATGTCCTATATGTCTTGAAGCTCCGAACATTTTCTCTAAAACTTCCTTTAAGCTCCTTTGAAAACGATAAAGTTACTAGCATTTAGAAATCTTTCGCTTAATATTTACCATTTGCAATGAGTCGATAGATACTCAACGGATGTGCTCTTCGAATCTCACTCAAGTTCTCCATTGTCTGGTCGCTTTTTTCAATCTGAAAAAAATACTTTCTCCAATATTATCACCGATAATATTTCTTGCCTTAGTAGAGATGTAATTTACGTTATTATTGTCGCTCGCTAACGGCTAAAGCTCAGAAGTTTGTTTTTCATGTAAATTTCCTCTGATTCTATTATTAACTTATATTGTGAGTATTTTTACCGTTCTCGTGGAAGAGATATGTTTCTTTGCTGAACATGTTTCTTGATTTTGACGCAGTCGTTCAAACGATGCAATAATGTTCCGTGACAGGTACGGGAGCAGATGCTTTTTTTAAGGATATTTAAAAATTTTTTGCTACGTGCTTCTCAAAATCCAGCGACAAAAATTTTCCTCATAATCTAATCACTGTGATGGATGCGTATTTCAAATAGTATTTCTGGCAGGGAAAAAGTATTCATTTGTATTGCTGTTGCATCCATCATGCAAGCTTTACGTAAAATGATCGTCAGTGGTTGAGTATATAAGTTTACATTGACTTTTATTATACTATTATTCTTGAATTTGATAGAATTACAATGTTGTTTTCAGCTTATTTTGTCAAAGGTGGGAAAAAATAGATACTTAACTTACTCAGTGCTGTGCCCAGCGGTTTCAATTCCGATTTCAATGTAAACGCAAATGAATATACTACATCCTAGTATCATATTTACTCGGAAAAGTTTTCGGTCTGTTAGTTGCAAACAAGTAATATATGATAACTTTACCTGTTTTTAATTTGATTTGATGATTTTTTAGTGATTGAATGCATTCCAGGTCGACATGTCCGAAGTTCGCGTATCCGTATTTATTTGTTAGCTTAAGACCGTGAGAACATTTAAACGCCTGTGTCCTCTTTAAAAAATTTGGAATGAAGTAAAAGCAAAAGAATGCTAGACCTTTCTGTCCGAAAGTTCGCCTCGTAGCTCCCTAGAACCTATATATGTATATATACTCTTTGTCTACTTAAAATAGAGAAATTAAATCTGTCCACATGTTTTGATTGAGGATGGATTGGGAAGGATATGGTTACAATAGGCAGAAAGATTCAACTTACGATATAAGAATTATGCTGAATCCAGGATGGAAACGAAAACATTTTCTAGAGCCTTTTAATATATCAATGTAATCAGTTGGCACGCCCATAGTTAATAAAATTCCAACAATCACAGATGTTTTGTACTGCTTTGAGTCGGTGATGCGTGTCGAGTATTTGCATTAAGATGAATATAAAATTATTATTAAAATAATGATAAATATTCGCATCAATTCAATTAAAAATCAGTCAAAAATGTAAGATCCCAACTAAACATAGAAAATGATAAATTTTCATTTTATTTACGTGATGAAACTACATATCTAACATTAACTTTGTAAAAACGAAAGAAGACAAGGCGTGTCATGTAAAGAAAATTACGAAAGGTAGCCACACCTAAATAAATAGATTAAGAAAAAAAGAAAAGTTTTCTTCAGGTTTTCAAAATCCCACGTGGAAGGAAACACAATCAAAAAGAAAAACAATTTATTACGAGATGTGAGGTGTATATGATACGTAAAAACAAAAAAAAAAAAAAAGAGAAAAAAACCAAAACAAACGCCATAATATACATTCCACTGGAAGACCGTAAAAACAGGGGAAGGCATTAATTTACAAGTGCTTGCTTTAGAAATTCGTTGCTCGTTTTAAAGCGAGCAAATTTTAAGAACAAGAAATTTTACGTTAAAAATGTTTTGCAAATTTTGCGTGATTACTACGATATTCTGATATGCTTGTGTACAATCAATGCAATACTTTCTTCTAACTTTTGTAACGAGTAGAGGTAAATCGTTACTTTTCGTATGAAGTGAGTGAGTAATTGTATATGAAAGTTTACAGCACTCCTCCTTCTTCGGTATTTTAGTAACATTTTTGTTTTCTGTGTGCAACTGAAGCCGTCTCTTTCACGAATACCTACTCAAAAGGTATCTGACCACAGCGACGTTGCTATTCTTGTGTATGGTATTTGGTTGGTTTGTTTGAGTTTTTAGTTAAGTGTTTTACTCATTCAAGTTTATTACGACAAAAAAGCAAAATATATGAACACAATATATTAAGATGTATATATATATATATATATATATATATATAGAGAAAAAAGAAACAAAAACAAAAAGAAACACTAATAACAAAATTCCAACAAAATGTTAAATATCACAAACACAAATAGTTTGTGCTCGAACGTGAATAAGTGCGCATCGGTGAAATTGAGAACTTTTTTTCCCTTGTTTAAATATTAACACAAAATTTATGAGAGAATTTCCCTAAGAACGAATCATGTTCAGTAGTGTAATTAACAAAAGCGGAACAACAAAAATTAAATATTAAGAAAATTTTTAAAATTCAATTTGCTTCTCATCAGTTACACAAAAAAAAAAAAAGTTAATAAATAAGAATTTAGTTTAACAAAAATTTACTTAATTAAATATATTTTAATTTTTATCAAAGAAAAACATCATGAAATTACTTAAAACATTAATAAGAAGAAGTACGCAAAAGAACCCTGAAGGAATAAGTAAATGAGACCCAGGCAGACAGAGGAAGAGACAGATAGATATCACTATTGTCATATATTCAGCATGTTTTTAACAATTTCCCGCTGTCTGCCGCTGTGCTGTTAACACAAATGCTTGACAATTTGTTATTATCAATGTTTCAAATGATTGTCATTGTCGTCGTTGTTGCTATTGTTACTATTATTTTTGCTGTTATTGTTGATATTGTTGTTGTTTTAGTATTACTATGCCATTGTTGACTGTGTTACACAAACAACACGGAAACGTTAACAATTGTCGTTTTAGTTTTTTCTGTTTCCTTTTTTTCCGTTGACTGTGTGCGTGTACATATGTATGTGTTTGTCTCTCCGTGTGTGTATGTGTGTATACATATGTGTGCGTATATTTACTAACAAAACCACCTTCTTCATTCGCTTTTTTTTATTTTGTTTCTATGATCTGCTAAAGAGTACTTATATATGTTGTCATAAACACTTGCTTATATGTATGTATTCTCACAGTCTATATACGGGCTGCTTAAAGCATTGATAGCAACAGCAACAATATCAGCATTGTCGTTTTATCATCAACAACATCCTTGTAGGATTTTTGTAAACGTAAGAGTGTTAAAAAAACAAACAAAGGAGAACAAAAGAAAACAAAGCAAAACTTGAAATATGTAAGCGAAAAAAACAACGCATATTCGCACACATGTACATTTAACCGCTTGGGAAAAAAAGCTCGTAAAATATTTTTGGCTTTACGGTGTTAATTTGAATATTCATTGTTGACAAGAACAGCATTTGGAAGAAAAGAAAAAACAAAAAAAAAAAGACAAGAAAAAAAAGGAACGAAAAAAGGAAAAAGAAAAACTATTTCTTGTTTTGTTAATACAACTTGTGAAGTATGGCTGCTTATGCACAGTTTGGATATGGTTCAACTTATCCGTCGGCTAATCAGGTATGTTCGAAGCTACAAGCATATAGGGAGAAGTACTGGTAATTAATATTATTTTTTTTATAAAGAATTATCAGTATTACTTGGAGACTTCTGTGTGAAAGTGTATTTTTTGGGCCCATACGTTAAAGAATGCTCTAAAATAGACTGATGCGTTACACTTTAAAAAGTCCAAAGATTACTGATGTCATGTATACTTCTGTTAGAAGAAGATTTCCTGATATTCTGATATCACTATATCCGCTCGTCTGTTTTTTACGAGTGTCTTCCATCGCCAATTGGAATAAAGTCAGACCTTAGGTGAATGATTAGAGTGTATTCACAGTTATTAGCTGAATTAAAAGTAGTTAAAGACTATAAAGTCGATGAGACTTATCTTAAACAACTGCAGAAAATGTGGAGGAAATGTTTGCAATGATCCCGCAACGTTTTTTCAAAAGATTGGAGACTAAAATCGTACTATATATGTACTATACGTATATGAATAATTTGCTAGATATTGTTGCTAATCGTCAGGATGACACTTGCCCTTGTTGGGAGTCAAGATTGTTAATTCATTTACAAAAAATTTTGCATACTTTTTCATTTTACTAATACCACCGAATTTAGTGTTAATTTGATACGAAACTTGCCGCAATTCGCCTAGAAAAGAGTCTACAAAAAGAAACTAGAATGTGTAAAGGCCTAACGGAGTTTGAAATCGCTTTTTAGAAGCGTATAGTTCTCACTTAAATGAAGTGCGAACATCATCGTTTATCGAACGTAAAAGCTTAGATTTAGAAGCAGTGGAAATAGCTTTCAATTTTTTTCGAAATGTCAACCATCGTTATAAGATCTCTCTGTTATTTATATGACTTCATATATGCTGCAAGGTAGTTCAGAATGATGATTTGCAAACGGAACGAATACAAAAATTGTCAAAACATTGCTTTCCATGTCGTCTATGTGAAGGGTCGAGTATGAAAAAAGTCTATTTTGTTTATATGTAAATGTTTAATGTGTAAAGGTGCGTGGTTTCAAAGGGAATACTGCTGGAAACAATCAATAGTAAAAAATTCTAAAAAAAGTTAGCATTTTTTAACCTTAATGAAAGTCAAAATTTCGTAGGTAGTTGAGTGTCCTCTTACTATAGATGATTATAAGTGTATATATGACGCTCCGTCAACTTTTCATAACGCAATAGAGGAGAAATTTGAAAGACTATTTAATAAAGGCTTAAAATTATTCGTCATTCATTTTATATATTAACAGAAAAGAAAGAAAGAGAATGGTAGAAGAACAAAAAGCACTACAAGGGATCTTTTCCCCTAACGTATCCATTAGATGATCTTGTTCATGAAATTTGGCTTAAGGTTTCAGTTTGCTGTTCAATTCCTTACTAACGATATTTGGATTATGTAATTATTATATTAATGTATTAATTATTTTATTAATCCATATCATCGCAGGTAGAGAGGGAAGAAAGAAAGAAAGCAAGAATCAAGTAATTTCTGAACATCAACAAAGTGTGGAATTTTTTCAATGTTTCAACTCAACGGAGAAAAGATGACAGTTTCAGCGAACGCAACATTTTTAAAATATATCTTAACTTGATTTTGTGCTTTTTACAAAACAATGTAAAGCAAGGATATTTTTTTTAAAGCCTTGCTTTTTAAAGGGTAAAGTGCATCCAATACATTCGCATGTCTTTCTGCAAGTCTTTGCTTTTAGAATTCGAAAGAGTAATTCAACAAACTCCGGGGTTTTTTTTTATTTTAAATATTAAATTTTTTTTATTTTAAAATTATATAAAAAATCTTTCAGTAAATACATTTTTCTCGAGATTATGGAAATTTCTATATTTGCTAGAGTTCGTTTTTTATACAAATTATTATCGGAACATTATTTTACAAATTTGTAATGAACTCTTGCTATACGACGCATATTACATCTTGGTGACGCTATTTATTAATATCAGTATGTAAACATATGTAATGACAAAAGCTTACAATGATAAGTTGATCCAATATGATTCTTTTCATGGCACGTGCTTTCTTTTTTTTTTTTCTTCAAAACGAAAGAAATGAAAAGAATAAAAATAGAAACAAAAAAGTTCTTCATCACAGAAAAGTGATAGCAAATGACACCGTTAAGCGTCATGTATGTCGTAGCGGCAGGATAGACAGGTAGATAAACAAGAAAAGCCAAGAGATATATTGGATAAAATCTGTTTTCCTCTACAGCCATATTAGGATGACAGTCTAGGTTTATGTAAGCCCCCGGTCAACCCAAAGAAATATCGTGTCGTTTATATCGTATGCATATACATGATTTGGGATCAGCATGGAAAACAGTATTCACATAGTCCTCCTTACTTATTTGCAAATCGTGGGCTTCATTATGTAGGACATCGAAAACCCAATGTTTTTCGCTTTTTTGGCTTTTAAGGCCAATAATTAAGAAAAAATGTTCGTGTGCGTGTGTATATTTTTTTAATTATTGCAAATCAATGATAAATGCAAAAGGACCTACAGCATGTGAAAATTGAAAATCGTTTCTTTATGAAATTAACCCATTATATATTATCTAGTAACTTAACTTTGCTTTAACAACAATTGGAAGCTACAAGTTCAAGTGCTTTTCATTTAATATTAAGACGTGCTTTAATAAGTAACTGCATAGATTCAGTGTTCATTAGATAAATTCCTTATGCAATAGCAAACAGCTTTAATATATTGTAAAAGATAATGGCTAAGGCAAAGCTAGCAAAGAAGGTTTTTTTTATATGTATCGAATAGAGATATGAAAGTCCCTATATGTGGACGTCAGCAGAAAAAATTTTGCTTTTTAACTTTTATTCAACTTGTACAATTATTAGCTTTACACATGAGCATTTAAATATAAAAATTAATATTTCAAATATATTACAGATATTTTCGATAAATTGTTTTTTTGAACGCATAAAATTTAGAAAGCATGAATTCTTTTAAATTTTCTAATAACTCTTCTAATTTAGAAAAAATAGGTCTGATAATATAACAGGTAAGCATTACGGGTAAAGCTCGAAATTATGGTCAAGAAAATGATTTTAAGATTATAAAAAGCATTACTTACATACTTGTGTAGATGGTTGGATAGGATATGTATTTAAAGGTATACACACACACATACATGCATACGTATGTATGCACGTACGTACATGCTTATACCTATACGGATACATATATGCCGTGGCAGTAAATATATATCTATATATATATATATAAGTGAGTATGTATATTTAAATATTGAAATATGTGCTGTAATGGTCAAACGCTCCATATTACATTTGTGTGGAATAGTCTATCCATAATATAACGGCAACAACTACAAAACAACAACAATAAAACTATCAACGTATTTTGTGTCTTCAATACAAAACTCGGCTACTGAATATAATATACAAGAGACTTATAAGCAAATCGTTGTATTTCATGCCTTTATATGCAAGTTTACGTTTAAAACTTAAAAATGATTTTATTATAATTACTCCAGAGGATTCTTGTAAGGGTGAGGGGTAAAAGGACACAAGTTGTATAATTTGCATGTGTTGATGGAATGTTATTGCTTAACCAGAAAGAAGGAAAGGGTTTTTTTTTTTTGTTCTGAAGCCTTGCAAGCAATTCAAAAAAAGTATATATAGCTGCGTAGCTTAGTTTAAATTTAACGAAAACGTCATTTAAGTAACTAACTAACTAGCTGGATATAACTACACAAAGATTTTTTAAATTATTTTCTTCCATTATTATAGGATTTATCTATTAATATAAAGTAAAAAAGGAAACTTTAAAAATTTAATAATGAAAGAGCTCTCTTTATAGATAAGGAATTTTAGATTTTAAAAGGAAAATATTTTCAGATTATTGCACTTAGGTTAGGTCAGGCTGTTGGCTTTTTCACGTTTCGAGCGTTACCCAATATCAATCACATTTACGTGAAATTGAAAACCAAATTCTTATCCAATTTTGTTTATAGCTATTAGTTAAAAAAAAAATTAAAATATGTGGTGCAGATATAAATGTGAATATATTTTATTTGATCTTTGTAAACAAAAATACTAATTTTTAAGATTTTGCTTTTATCCCTTGGCTATTTCCGACGGAAATTCATGAAACGGGCAGCAAAGTGCCATAAAATGTAGCGCATACAAGAAATGAAAATTGCGTAAAAAGTGTTCATTCCGCTAAACCATTAGCGTTTGACTTTCATACGAATTAAAAGCGATTCACTTATTATAAGGAATCGATCTATTCATGAACATGTCAGCTTTGCAAAGCAAATCATTATTGATAATGGCGAATTGATTATCGATAGCCATGCTACTTAATCATCAAAATAGTCATAAATTGTATCCTTCGCCGACATATATGTTTTCATTTTTATGCTCAATTATAATACATTAAAGCAAAAATCATGTTACCAATTTTGCATTTCAACACCCATTTACGAGGGATGTCACGTGATCAATTTAAACAATTATTAATTGAAAATTAATAAAAGTTTATGAAGAAATGAAAAAAGAGACACCATCCAAATATTGCCACACTGGAACAATAGAAAGTTACACATATCCTTGCAAATATAACTGAAAAAAGCAACTACGCTCGAATCCAGAACACATTCGCCATGTAGTGGTAACTGTTTCACTATTGCGGTGATAATGAGCCCAGTTTAAGATATAAAAAGGATTTTAACATATAAAATTTTATAAGTTGAAATGTGAAAACAAAAAGTTTATCATATATACAGAAAAAAGGGAAGGGAACAAGTTTTTGTTTTCGATGTAACGCCAAACTATTATTTGCATTATTTATACTGACGAGAGACAGACAGATATGCTTAAATCGATTTAGAATTTGATGCTGATCAAGAATATATATACTTTGTAGAGTCTGTGATGCTTCCTTCTAGGCGTTGCAAACGTTTTGACAAAATGAATGTACCCCTCATCCTTCATTGATGGGTATAATAAGAGATTGTATAAA